AGCAACTGATGGTCCGTTTGATTATTAAGAATGGGATTTGGGTGGAAAGAAAATGAATTTTAGAAAATTGAATTGCTTAGAATTTGTTTTACTGAGAATTGTCAATTCATTATGTTTGATTGATATAATTTTCCACCTGAAAAATGTTGAAAATTTGAATATTTTAGTGTTTTTTTTACTTTGTTTTCCATGAAAATTGTCAAATAAAGAGATATAATTTGTTATAATTGGGAACATAAATTGTTTCAATTGTAAAAAAAAAGCTTAAAAAACTATTTTCCCACCAAAGTGTTGGGAAAACCAATTCAAGAAAAAGCAAGAAAAATGGGTCACGTGGGGCTTAAGAAGGAAAACCAATTCCATAAAATTTTTGGCCAATCAAACATGCAATAACTTGGAAAATAAAAAATAATTTTCAACTTCCATAGAAAATAAACCCTATCAAACAGGGCCTAATAATCCAATGTGCTGGAAAAATTGTACTTTGAAGAATTGTATCTTGTGCATAGATTTTGGATTGGCATGCTTAGCCCCCGTTTGGTACACATTAAAATTTTCATTTTTATTCTTCTACTCATTTTCAACCACACATTTTTCAACAAAATAATATTTTTCATTACATCAATAACTTTTCGTTATTTCTCAAACACAAATTCTCTATCAATCTACTATTCCAAAATACGTTCTTCCAAAATAATGTGGCTCAAACACGCCCTTAGTGTAGTATCCAATTTTCCCTCGAGCGAACCACTTTCATGGCTTGGTTTAGAGTGCGTTTGGTAGAGATTTTTAGGGGAAAAATTGATTTTTGAATAGTGATATAATGGGAAATGTGTGGTTGAAAAAGAAGAAAAATGTATTGACGTGATGAAAAATATTATTTTATTAAAGAATGTGTGGTTGAAAATGAAAATTGATTTACTGTAGAAAATGAAAATCTATACCAAACGGGACCTTAATCTTCTAATAAATCCCGGTCGATTGCATTCAAAGTAATTCAAGAATTCCGCCACCACAAATGTCATCATGCTTCCAGCACATGGTGGTGGATGCTGGTGGCTCAGCCTTTGCCGGGTTCAACTCAGCGATAAAAACACTAAAGTTGCCAAGAATGTACTCCACGACACTATTTATAAGATTATGTGGAGTGTTACTTTGACTTTACTATTGCCAAATACGTGCCAGTTCGAAATTTTGCTCTTCCATAATGGAAGGATTCAAGTGAAGTACAAACCTACTTCCTTGCTGGAAACCACCATCGTGGAGAAAAGATTCCTGCCAGCAAGCATAAGGGTAACACGTACGTTGACTTTCTTCTTGTTGTACATATCATTGGGATAAAGAAAATTCAATTTTGCTTGCTTTGATGACTATGTGCGTGGCTTCATCGTCTGATGCGTAGAAGAGAGCAAAACTTTTCGCCGGAATATTGCCGGCTCCGGCTTCATTAAAAATGGTTATTCAGAAACCCTTAGAGGCTTCATGGTTTGCCCATATGGAGACCAAGCCAATGAAAGCAATCAAAACAAGCCGGAAAAGGATGCTCGAATTCGATGACCTCGTGGTGTTGTTGCAGTGGCAGCAACCACCGAGGAGGTGGCGGTGTTGGTGATGGATGGATGGATATATAAGTTGTTGGAGGAGATGCTGATTTCTCTTCCATAGCCAATTTGGAGAGAAACATGAGAGTTGAAAAGGGGTACATATTGTACAAATTTAATTGAGAAGAGATACCAAAAATGGCATATTTGTGTATAGTATTGTATGGTTGCCAAATGGATAAAAGGGCCCATTGCCAACTTCCTATGTATAAAATTGAAAGTGCCATTCTACCCGCCATGTTCGTGTTGAACATTATGAAATGCTTACTTTAATCATTAATTATTATTATTCTGCATTTAGTTTTATGTTTGGAATTAATGGATTCAGAATTGAAATCGAACTTTTATTTTGTTCGTCTATATAAAAACTTTCATATTTAGTCATGGACGGATCCAGGATCGGATTATTCCTTGAGCAACTTTCGGTATTTTGGTTATAACTTTCTCTTTCAATATTCAATTGAAATGATTCAAAGTGCGTTGAAAAGCTAACTCAAAGACCTACAATTTTTATAATTCTAATGTTTTCTATCCAAAAAATGTGTTTCAAGTTGAGGCTAAAAATTAGGAGTATAACTTTTTCGGTTGAAAATTGATTTGTGAAAATATTTCAACTATATTTCACTCAGTTGACCTCCGATTGCATCCAATTGCACCCATGACTTAGATAAGTGTACATAATACACTTATCATTTGACAAAAAAAAATAATAAATAAATAAATAAGAGAATTGGTAAGTTATTTGTTCGAAATGATAAAAATAAAATATTAGCTTAGATTAGATTTTTGTCATTCATAGGAGCATTTAAAAGAGTAGTAAAATCAAACAAATTTCTTAAATGGCACATAGCGTTATGTAGCCAAGTCAAACTATAATAGTCTGAAATGGACAACCCATGAGTGGATTATTTACTTGGTCTAGTTATTGAGTTAGGTAGAGAAGATAATTTGGGTGATATGACTACCATGTTAAGAGTGATTTTTGGGGGAATAATTGATTTTTAAATAGTGATATGATGAGAAATGTGTGGTTGAAAAAGAAGAAAAAATTATTGATGTGATGAAAAATATTATTTTATTGAAAAATGTGTGGTTGAAAATGAGAATTGATTTACTGTAGTAAGAATTGATTTTTGAATAGTGATATGATGGGAAATGTGTGGTTGAAAAAGAAGAAAAAATTATTGATGTGATGGAAAATATTATTTTATTGAAGAATGTGTGGTTGAAAATGATAATTGATTTACTGTAGAAAATGAAAATCTGTATCAAATAGACCCTAAATTTTATTTGTAAATACATATTTCAACGAATTCACGACTTATGAACTTGTTCACCATTGATTTTTTTTTTATTTAATTTAAGTTATTTATAAATTCTTTTCATGCAGAGACTTAAATATTAGCCATGTTTGGTATTCTTTAATTTAATTTATTTTTCATACTCACTTTCAATCATACGTTCACGTCCAAAAGAGGCTTAGTCCATAGAATTTGTGAGTCTCCATTTTTTCCCAAAAAACACGTCGCTTATTTTCGGTGGCAATAACTGGCATTTGATGTGGGGTGCATTGCATCGGAATGGGTGCATATAATTGTGGGGGAACGGTGTCAAACATCTGTACCTGTATTGAATGTTATGCAATCAATTCATGTGCATTGTGCCTGAAATAGCAAATTAATTCTTTTGTTGTGAATTTGCTGTAATCCATCAGTTCTTCACAGTAAACTTTTTATTACATGTCAGAAATTTTAGTAGACGAAGAAAATATAAGAAGAGCAATGATATTCATCTCTATTAAGGATGAAAATACAGTTTAGGCGACGTTAATAAAGTCACATAAACTGTATTTTCATCCCCCACTGAAAATGAATAACATTACTCGTATAAGAATAACTTTGAAATGTAAGTTTGACAGCTCTATCACATACGGGTGAAGTCCGCGATTTTTAAAATTGCAGACCCCACCCCCTATGTGAGGGGGCTATTACCCATGATGTACACCAGTGTACATCAAACATTTCCCAAAATATAAAGAGTGTGGAAAGTGCAAAATTGTTCTCCTGCTCATGGACAGATAAGACCCACTTGTTGATATGACATTAAAATTTTACTTACGGTTCTCATCAAATGTGGAACCGTAAATAAGGTTTTCTATAAGTTGGTGATACAAGACTTCTCACTACAGACGTGAAAACATTTCGATATCTTACATAAAATATACTCGAAAAGATAACACGTGGATATTTAAGTTAAAGCGCGGCATGACTATCTTGATCTTTATAAGAAATTTTTAGAGACAAAACCGTTTGCGATTTATCGCAGCCTTAATTTCACTTAAAAGTACTTTTGCTTTTAGAGTTGTGTTATACATTGCTTATTGCTACAAGTATTGCTAAAACTTGCAAGAAAAAAACTGTTTAGAGTATTAAATTCATTGACATAAAAAAATAATTTCCTAATTATTTGAATATTTTATACAAATTACTAACAAAAATAAAATAAAACAAAAACTAGAAAAATATTTAAATGAAAAATAGTTCACTTGAGGGTAAGGATAGACGTGGCCTTTTATTTTCCATTCATATTATCATGTTCCCCACATCAATAAAAGAAACTAATTGATCCCACAAAAATCACATCACTACCGTCAAATTATCCACTCACAAGTGACCACGTTGGATCTGAAAATTTTGACTATACTAAGGAAAATGTTGTAAGAACTCAATTGAATAACTAAGCGTCGTTTGATTGAAAGAATGAAATTTAAGTGGAAAGAAAATGAATTTCAGTGAATTGAATTGCCTAGAACTTATTTCACTGAGAATTGTCAATTAATTGTGTTTGATTTGCATAATTTTTTACCTGAAAAATGTTGAAATTTTAGATCTTTTAGTGTTCGTTTGACTTTATTTTTCATGAAAATTGTTAAGTAAAGGGATATAATTTGTTATCATTGAAAATATAATTTGTTTCAATTGTAAAAAAAAAAGCTTAGAAAACCATTTTCCCACCAAAGTGGTGGAAAAACCAATTCAAGAAAAAGCAAGAAAAGTGGGTCACCTAGGGCTTAAGAAGGAAAACCAATTTCAATGAAGTTTTTGGCCAATCAAACATGCAATAACTTGGAAAATGAAAAATAATTTCCAACTTCCATAAAAAATAAATCCTATCAAACAGGGCCTAATAATCCAATGTGCTGGAAAAATTGTACTTTGAAGAATTGTATCTTGTGCATAGATTTTGGATTGGCATGCTTAGTCCCTGTTTGGTACATATTAAAATTTTCATTCTCATTCTTCTACTCATTTTCAACCACACATTTTTCAATAAAATAATATTTTCCATCACATCAATAACTTTTCATTATTTTTCAAACACAAATTTTCCATCAATCTACTATTTCAGAATACATTCTTCCCTCGAGCGAACCAATTTCATTGCTTGGTTTAATCTTCTAATAAATCCCGGTCGATTGTGTTCAGAGTAATTCAACAATTCCGCCACCACACTAATGTCATCATGCTTCCAGCACATGGTGGTGGATGCTGGTGGCTCAGGCTTTGCCGGGTTCAACTCAGCGATAAAAACACTAAAGTTGCCAAGAATGTACTCCACGACACTATTTATAAGATTGTGTGGAGCGTTACTTTGACTTTCCTATAGCCAAATACGTGCCACACCTTGATCTTGATGCAATGCTAAAAAAAATGGCATGTTCGAAATTTTGCTCTTCCATAATGGAAGGATTCAAGTAAAGTACAAACCTACTTCCTTGCTGGAAACCACCATCGTGGAGAAAAGATTCCTGCCAGCAAGCATAAGGGTAACACGCACGTTGACTTTCTTCTTGTTGTTCATATCATTGGGATAAAGAAAATTTTATTCAATTTTGCTTGCTTTGATGACTATGTGCATGGCTTCATCGTCTGATGCGTAGAAGAGAGCAAAACTTTTCGCCGGAATATTGCCGGCTCCGGCTTCATTAAAAATGGTTATTCAGAAACCCTTAGAGGCTTCATGGTTTGCCCATATGGAGACCAAGCCAATGAAAGCAATCAAAACAAGCCAGAAAAGGATGCTCGAATTCGATGACCTCGTGGTGTTGTTGCAGTGGGAGCAACCACCGAGGAGGTGGCGGTGTTGGTGATGGATGGATGGATATATAAGTTGTTGGAGGAGATGCTGATTTCTCTTCCATAGCCAATTTGGAGAGAAGTATGAGAGTTGAAAAGGGGTATATAATGTACAAATTTAATTGAGAAGAGATACCAAAAATGGCATATTTGTGTATAATATTGTATGGTTGCCAAATGGATAAAAGGGCCCATTGCCAACTTCCTATGTATAAAATTGAAAGTGCCATTCTACCCGCCATGTTCGTGTTGAACATTAAGATATGCTTACTTTAATCATTAATTATTATTTTTCTGCATTTAGTTTTATGTTTGGAATTAATGGATTCAGAATTGAAATCGAACTTTTATTTTGTTCGTCTGTATAAAAACTTTCATATTTAGCCATGGACGGATTCAGGATCGGATTAAAGGCAGGGGATCCGTGCCTATATTTAGCTATAGAACGAAGCTGCAGTGCCAGGGCGAGTGTGACCCTCCTTGACAGGACACACACATTGGGGTAGGGGAGCTTTTTTTTTTCATTTTTTATTTCACACGGGTCCCACGTCGGTCCCACACTTATGTGAGAGTAGGTCACCCAGGTGAGCAATTTTCTTATTGCACAATAGCTTTATTCTTAGCCATATATTAAATCTATGGAGCATCAAATTACTCGTCCATATTTCTTAAAGAAGAGGAGAGAAATTTGTTTTAAAGAGTCAAATCATAGTATTTAAGCGAAAGCCTCGTGAGAAAATTTTCCCAGGATGAATGCTCCACAGCTAAAGATCCATTCAAAAATCTTCGATGGCTCTTCGCTACCCTCAACTAAAAAAATTCTGGCTCCGCCATTGTCTTAAGATAACTCTGAACATGTCTTAAGAGTAGTTGATACAAAAAGAGAGAAACACGCTTTCATGCTGCATAAAACTAACACATCTGGTAAAAGATAGACACAATGACCCAATAATTCGCCATTTTTTTTCCAAATCTGAGCAAATTTAAAGGCATGGGGACCCTTCTAAAGTTCATCCATAGAACACGGCCTTTTTTACACTGTTCCCTATCAAGATTCTCATATTCCTTTCACAAAACCAAAACAAAAAACACCAAAAAAAAAAAAAAAAAAAAGGTTACAAAACTAAGAGCAAGCACTACAAAAAACCCCCCCTCGAAGTTATTCCTCTGTACATATTCTTTTCTGTGATTTCAACATAAAGATGTCACTTTGGCAAGTGATTAAAAATAAAACCAATTTGACATCAAGTCCTCTAGATATGGCACTTGCTGCTAAACAAATGTGAATTTTCTATATTCTTGTGACCAAATTAAAAATCCGTCCTCAATTCGGATTGCAGGCTTCTTCCCATAAGATGTTCTTCTTTTTTCGTAAATAGAAGTCGTGAAGCATTGTTGGATCAACTTAACTGTGTCCTTGCATCTGATTCAGAACCAGAAAATGAATGATAGATACCAAGATATAGTGAAAATCAGGTAAACTTCTTGGAATGGCGGGCGCTGAGCTAGCCGGGATGATTGGTCCAGCGCCAAAAACTCGTGATCCACTTGAATTGGTCGTATTCAATACCGATGAACTCGTGCTGCAGATTTAAATGCTGATGAGGTTATGTTATCCTGATTGACAGATGAAATAACAGAAGATGGACTAAAAGTAATATTAGTAGTTAAAGTTCACCTAATTGATGGAAATTGACATGTATCATAACCTGCACAAGAAAAAAGTACATTAAATAAAGAAAAATGATTCCTTTTTTTTCCCCCAAATTCTTAGTCAAATATTATTCGAAAGTTACATTGCGTTGCGAGCAAATGGGACTTATTTTCAATCAACTCGATTATTGAACACTTGATACCAATCGAGACATTTTATTATCTTCACTAATAGATCTAAAAGATGTAGCTTACTTGGGTCAGTGCTGGTGGTTACAGCAGTACCACCAAAATTGCAGCTAGTGGGGATTGGATTCTTCTGATAGTAGCTATTAAAAGCGTACGAGGCATGATCACGTATTGTGATTGGATTATAGCAGCTGCCACCGGGCTGAATTGCCGAACAATCAGCGCCACCATAGCCACAAGCATAGTCTAGTGCAACTTGTAATGCTGTTTGTGACACAGATTGGCTAGCAACACACCAACTGCCACCTGACGGGGTGGTTGTAGTGGCGGCTGGCGTCATTACGGGATTAGCTGGATTCATTACGCTAGGCGAGTCGGGACCAGAAACTGTTGGATTTAGCACTGGACTGGTGGTGGTGGGAGTAAAGGGATTGGCTGTTGGAACTGTTGTTAGTGGAGTTGTAATGTCCATTTGTCTTGTAGAAATTGAGATAGAATCGTGCAATTTTTTCGCCTCCAATGCCCTCTCGGACAATACTGAACAGAATTAAAGTACGAAAAAAGAAAATTTTAAAATTTTAGTCTATTATCCTGTACAACATTGTTAATTGTGCTTGACATTTGTATTCATGAACAAAAATCACTGTCAACTCAATGATGAGACTCCAAAAAGCAAAAAGAATTCAAAAATGACTGAAAATAATATCATGATGACATAAAAAAAGTTATAATTTTAAAAAGAATCAATCCTGGAGATTGAAAATTTTAAAAAAAATTGACTATGAATACAATTTTAATATGAAGATCTGAACACTGAAATCATGTTTACAGACCAATCAATTCTTAGTAACTTAAATTTAATTTCCTAAATTTGGAAAGTATGGAAGAAAACTAATGACAGAATATATATGCATGATTTAAAAGCAGTTCATTCAACATTTACACACTCAAAAAAAAAAAAAAAAAAAATCTAAATTGAAGAATAAAGAATAAAGGAAAAAGGGATTCAAAGCTTGCAAATATCAGAGAATAAGATTCCCTTGTTAAAGCAAATTAAACTAATGCAATCAAGAACCAATAGAGATGTATAAAATCAATTATTAAATGCAAAAAAAAAAAAAAAAGAAATTTAATTTACCTGAAGAAATTATAAGAACAGCCAGATTCATGAATTTCAGAAAACTAATGCTATGCATGGTTTCTTTCTTCGTCAGCTGTTTTTCCAGTCTGGTTCAGCTTTAGCTTAGTTTGCAACCACAAAGGGACAAGCTGAGCCAAGTCAAAATATGATCATTCTTTGAAAAGGGAAGGATTTTGTGTCCATCACCATATGATATATATGTATAAATATATTCATATCTTGATGACTATGATATCTATGTTTTGTGTGTGAGAGAGAGATAGTGCAGAGAGAGGAATGGAGAGAGAGAGAGAGAGTGTGTGTGTGTGTGTGTAAGTATGTAAATGAGTGTGTAAATGGAAACTTAAAGACATTTAAATGGGGGTGGTGTAGGGGGAGAAAGAAAAATGGTGGTGGAAAAAGTTAAAAGAGTAGGAGAAGAAAAGAATGGGGGTAAATTACGGCAAAGGTCCCCAACCTTCAATTTAATTCTCACTTTTTTCTCCAACCTTGATGTATACTACTTTGTTCCCCATTTTGGAAAAAATTGGCACCGTTCATTGAAATAGATTATTTGCATCCATTTTTCATTTCAATCCATTTAATCAGCATATTCAATAATTAAATGACAAAATACTCTCGAAAAGTATTCATCTGCTGCTTATTTTGAACACATCTTTAAAAGTTTCATAAGAAAAACAAAAGAAAATAATTTATAATTTCCATCTTTGTTGACAGAAACCTTTACCCATAATCGTCACCATCGAACGAATCGGTACCACCACACCAAACTATATCGCCATCATGCCACCACCAACATGGTGAGTATTCATGCCTCGCGTTCCGTCAAGAATTTTTGCCACCCCGTTTATAGTTTTTTTTAATTAAGTATTTAATATTTAAATTTTGTTTTTTATTTACATTTATAGAAATTAAAACAAAAATTGTACTAATGGGAGAAAAATGACAAGTCCATAAACCCACTTAACAACTTATCCAAATATATAAAGACAATTTTTTTACTTATCTTTCAAGACAATTACATAAAAGAATACGATGCGAAATTTCTTTCATGTATTTATAGTCAAATTATTGAGGGGAATCATTTTGTCCTACATCGAAAAACTATCGATCATATTAGAGAATAAAAATCTATAAATAATGTAGCTTAGTATTATTTTTTGTGTCTCAAATATTAAAGTATTTATTTTTTGGAATATGTAATTTAATATTTAAAATATTATGATTAATAAAAATTAAACGAATAGCAACCCCTACCTCGAAATCGGCTCGCCGCCCCAATTAAGTGGGGGCATACCTACCTTATTTGAGATGGCTACCCACGGAGCTCAAGTTTGGCCAGATAAATCATCGTCCCTAGGAAATCCGTCTTGATTATGGGGACCTCGACACTATAAAAAATGTTAACAAAGGTGAAGGATTCCCTCCTAATTTTGGCTGTAGTGGGGGCAGTGTGGTGGTGGTGTGGAGATGACAACGATGTAGTGGTGGTGGAGGAAGAAGACTATTACATTTTTTTTCAATTCCTTTCTTCGCTCGTAGTATTTTTATTTTTTTTAATTTTGTTTTTTAATATAATAATTAAGAATATGAATGAAAATTTTGTCGTTTTAATTTTGAATATGCTAGTCAAATTGGTTGACTAACAGAAAAATTGACGAAAATCATCTATTTGGATGAATGACGCCATTTTTGATAGGTTACGAATAAAGTAGTAAAGAAGAAAAGGGGTTCGAGATAAAAGTGCAAATAAATCTAAAGGTTGGGAACCTTTGGTATAATTTACCCAAAAGAAAGTGAAAGGGAATTGTTTGGAATTTAAGTGTGGTCCTGTGGGGTCAAATTAGTGATGATAGTAATGATGGTGATGGTATGTGCAATTTCTCTTTTTCAACCTTTTGTGTTTCAAAACCTTATTCTATTTCATAGGACTCATTCTATTATCCAAGTGCCATCCAAAGTGGAGGAAACTGAATAAACACTTTAGGAAGTTATCTTGTACCATTATATAGAATCAGGAAAAACTATATAGAAAGACTTCATTTTGACTTAATGACCCTTAAAAAATAAAAAAAATCATTCAATTTTATTTAACCTCTTGTCGACTGTATTCATTTGAGTTCTAAATGCGTTAAGAAATCGAGTTGCAATTCAGATGTGTTAGAAGGAAAAAAGTCATGTGGGACATGTGTCTTTCATATGTCCTTTGTCCTTTGTTTGACGTAGTAGTAGTCCTTGCTTTTAAGCAATTGAGAGCGAGGCCAATTTATGGCACGATTGCTAATGACAGACAAAGAGAGCTTGCTACCATAGTTAGGCACCTCATTGGTGCTACAAATGTTTACCAAATCTTATATTACATGGGTCATAGAGATGGATTTTATTCAAAAGTAGGTCATTTGTTGCGCACGAATTCTCTCAATTTTCTTGTTTTCCCATGTGGATATTACTATATGTCACTATTTTTGGTAGACATACATTATCAGAAATAGGGACAAAAATTATCTGTCAAAGAATGGTTTTGCTTAGAAGATCATTTTCATTTATTTGTTTATTTTTTCCTTTTATGAGTAGTTATGAAACCTTCACCATCAACTACATAATGGTTCTTGGCAACATTTTTATCCACCTTTTCTATTTTTTTCCTCTTTTCTGTTGAAACTATCTTGTCAATTTTTTTCCTTCCTTTCAGATTGGACAAGCTGGGGATAGTATGCTTGCAGGTGCATGTTTCTTATGGTGAGGAAGCCATTAATTGCCTTGTATATATTTTCATGCAAACAGAGCAATATTTTGTTCTTGATTTTCTTGCAATGATTGATTTGATTAAAAGATTATGGTGAACCTCAGACCATCTGATCAAGACTCCTCTAGGTACATTAAAAAACTACCTGAGGGCTTGTACCTCCCACCAGTTAATGTTTTGTCAAGCAAAAGTCCCACATTGATTCTTCCCAAAGTCAAAAAGTTTTGTGGAGGTGGTTCACTAGGGCTCTTTTTCATTTATTTTTTTTTGTTGGCATATATATTCTTGATTATTTAAAGTGAAATATGAGTAACATATTATAGAAAATATATATTTATATAACTTTTTAATCTAGCTTTTATATTTTCCTACAAAGTATCCAATTTGGAAAAGTAATAAATGCTCTAACTTTCATCTTTTACTAGTTAATCAAAACATCTCTTCATGTGTACTATAAATAGGACTTATTTGAAAACGAAAGAATGTAAAAAGAAAAAAAAAAAAATTCCGGCGAATGAGTATTTGAAAATATTTGAAGACAAAAGATGGGAAAGAGGAAGGGAAGAAGAAATCGTATGAACAAACAATGGTTACGACAATGTCTTTCTACCTACAAAATGAATCGGAGAGAAAAGGTCTTCCGAAGACATAGTAGAATTAAATTTTGTTGATAAAATGAGGTTTAACTCTTTGTAATGAAAATGTATAGTATAGGTGAGTTTAATTTTTTTTTTTTTGCAAATGAATATGTATAGCCAGGGGTGTACCCAGAAAAATTTTTGAGTGGGGGCGGAGCCAGCTCATCGAAGTAGAGGGGTCCAAAGTTGAAGGGGTGGGGGCTTACGGGGGTTCGCTGCCCCCGAAAATTTTTTTTTCGGAGTTGTTGAATAGTTTAGATTTAGCTGTATTTTCCCAACTAGTTCATGTTATATAGGCCATGAACGAAGCCTCTCACCCTGCATCGAACCCACAAATATATTCACTCTGACTATGCAATCACAGGTGGTCAAAATGAGATTTACATAACATACCAATTCTTCAGCAATATTAGCCACCTGAACTACTACGTGCCCAAAATACTTTCCTTTCGAATCGTGGACTTCAATTGTCAAATCATCTCCAAACCCTTCTGGCAAGCTATATTCAAGTGGGAAGGAAATTTAACCATCCAACTCTATGAGATTGAAGAATATATAATAAGATTAAAGAGAAAAAGATTACATACAAAACATGAGTTTCACCAGATCCTGGCTGCATTCGACATAGAAAATAAGCCAAAAAAACTGTAAAAAAAAATTTTTTTTTTTTTTTTGGTTTTTTTTTTGTCATTGGGTCCGCCCCTGTGTATAGCATGGATGAATGTTATCTTGTATATCGAGAGATAAGGTGACAATGTCTCCGTTCGTGTAGTAATTTTTCATATCTCTACACTAAGCTAGCTAGATGACAAGGTCATAGCCCCAACCTTGTATTCGGTGAGTCATCATCATCATCTGTCACAGGTGGAATTTACTAAACAAACAAAAAAAATGTTTGACAACTCGACTCCGTCATGTTCTGGCCTGGTCAAGAAACCAAAACTTCACTTAGGATGGAAAACAAAAATGTCGATTTGACAAAAAGAGAGGTTTATAAAATCCTTCTTTTTTTAGTCTAATATTAGACTTGCCGTAATATATATTCTAATGAAATAAATGGCGCTTCTCTTGCAAGAAGTGCTCGGACTCGTGACTATGGCAAGGCAGTAGGCTTTGCTCTCTCGCGACTCCTACTCGTATACTTAAAATACGATAATTTTATGTTGATCTTTTAAGAAATCACTAATAGAAAAAATCTCTAGGAAGAACTACTCCATAGTGATGTAATGAGGATTTTGAGTATGTTGTCCATGATGGTTATTAGAATTGTGTTTATTAGATCATCTATATAGGTCTCATTTGTCTACTCATTTTTTTCCCGTGAGATAAGAATGCTCGTTCTTACCCTCTTATGCTTTGAATATATGATTCAATTAAAATGTGAATTACAAGTAGTAGATGATATATGAATTCACTGCTGAAAACTACAAGATCTCGTGCATTGACACCTATGTTTAAGAACCCTAAACCATTAGTACTATCTGAACATTTTCTTTTCAAAGTGAAATATAGACTTTGTTGATATGGAATCCCAAGTCTTCATACTTTAATACCCCTATTTATAAATTTATTCAGAATTACTAAAACATGATTCACTTTGCAACTCAATCCGACCCGAATTCCACACCTAGCAACTCAAATCGGGTAACAAAATTTAACTACTAATTAAAGAAAATCTTGTTGATCGAGCCCGTCAATCATATACCAAAATTTAAAAATAATGGTATTTACAATAATTGCGGCTACTTTTGTTCCATATAGGGTAGAATTTCGTTGGTGAAGGGCCCCTATAGTAAGTACACTAAAGTGAAAATATCTATAAAGTGGGAGAGGTGATCTTCCCAAATCCTAGCCTATACGTGAACTTTTGACCAATCGATGTCGAAAAATTCTACAAGCTATATGTTCTTTTTGGGTTAATAACAAGTCACTTTTTCTATTGTTGTTAAACTAGTTAAATAGAGAATGTATTTTGAAAGAGACCATGGCTTGTAACAAGTTAATAGCGATTAGTAAATACTAATATCATAATATGTGCATTTTACACTTTAGAATGGACAAGATTACTATAAGGTAATTGATAATTTCATCGAATAATGTATATCCATCTCCCTTAATCATATCCATTCTCATCATTGTAAGGTACAAAACATGTCCGAAATTGTTGTATGCACTTAATTTGTCATTACATATGATTTCAATTAGGGTATTATAGCCAGCGTTTACAGTAGTCGCCCTTTGTGACAACGTGTTATTTGAGACATTAATTTTCTGTAATTCTATTGCCTCAAGTAACAAGCTGCCACATATTATGACTACTGCAGTCGCTGATTATTAATATTATTATTCTTTCAATCAGTGGCTCAAAATCTCCTTATCCATTATAGCAGATGACTCCATTGTTATTTTTGCATATTGCTCAATCTTTTCACACAATTCTATGTTTTGATAAGAATTTTTGCTAAATTTTGACAAGTTTGCCATACTATTTTAGCTACATTCTTGTTAAATTTACATTAATTCATAAACGAATGCCACCATGTTTTTGCTCTTACCATCCACCATCAACCTCTATTACAAAGTTTATTTCCAGACCAGCCATTACTCTCAATGCTAGAAACCAAATGCAAAACAATGAAAGACCTCAAAAAATATTCATGCCCATCTCATCAAAATAGGCCTTGCTATAGACATTATAGTAGCTAGCCGTTTGTTGGCTTTCTGTGCCACCAGCTGATAAGAAATATATATCGCACATCGATAAATGAAGTTGACACAGACCAATGAATAAAGATTATGATAGAAATGGGAAGTGGAGCGCTCCAGGGAAGAATCGTTAAGTCTGGAACTTGATCCGTATATATATTGGAATTCTTTTATAACATATGTATGCAAATTGTGGGCTTTCGGTGGATGCTAGAAAATTGTTTGTTCAAGATAACGATTTATGGGACTTGCTAAATGTGGAGAAGTCGATGAGTCTAGTAGATTGTTCGATAGAATCTCATTGCGAAATGAGGTTTCTTGGAATAGTATGCTGAGTGGTTATGATAGAAATGGGAAGTGGAGCGCTCCAGGGAAGAATCGTTAAGTCTGGAACTTGATCCGTATATATATTGGAATTCTTTTATAACATATGTATGCAAATTGTGGGCTTTCGGTGGATGCTAGAAAATTGTTTGTTCAAGATAACGATTTATGGGACTTGCTAAATGTGGAGAAGTCGATGAGTCTAGTAGATTGTTCGATAGAATCTCATTGCGAAATGAGGTTTCTTGGAATAGTATGCTGAGTGGTTATGATAGAAATGGGAAGTGGAGCGAGGCATTAATGGATCTTTTCAGCAAAATGCATGAGAAAATAAGGCCAAGCGAGTTTACACTGATGAGCATGTTGAATGCTTGCGCAAAATTAGGAGCTCTTGAACAATGGGAATGGATTCATGACTATATATATATAACGAAAAATAACATTGAATTGAATGTTATTGTAGTAGCAGCAATCATGGACATGTACCGCAAATTTAGAAACATTGAAATGGCTCGCCAAGTTTTTGAGGCTGTCCAGAGGAAAGGATTATCGCGTTGGAATTCAATGACGTTGGGAAGATAAAGTAACTCAATCGTTCTCCAGGCTTGAATCGTAGAATCTTGTACCAGATTCTGTGAGAGCCTGCAATCACTCAGGACTGGCCGATAGGCAAGAAAGCACTTTTCATTAATGAAATAAACGTATAAAATTCAGTCATCGATAGAAGACTATGGTTGTCTGGTTGACGAGTTAGGCCAAGCAGGACGTGTGGAAGAAGCAGCCAAGCTTATAAGAAGTATGCCAATGAGCCCTGATGCTGTATTGGCAGCTTGTAGGAATCACCAAAACAATGATATCACCAAATGGGCGGCAGAAAATTTAATCGAATTAGATCAAAATGAGACAAGCGACTATGTTTTGAAGTCTAATGTTTATGCAGCCTTGGGACATTTGAAAAAGCAATGCAGCAAAGAACTGCAATGAAGAACAAGAAGATAGAGAAACAACCAGGATGCAGTTAAAGGTTTGAAAAAGAGAGTGCATGAATAAATTGTTCGAGCTATTAGACATTAGATACAACTATTTTATTTAAATTTAGCCTTCATAATCGTCCATAACATGATGTCCATATACATTGTCTTCATAGACGTGTATACAGCTTTTGTAAATAAGAAATAGCTTAGACGAAATGGAAACCTCGCAAACTATTAAGAGCATGTTTGCGTATGCACAAACATGCTCTAAACCTGAAGGAATTGTAATTATATGAACAATACAAGAAGCGAGTGTCTGCATTAAAGAAACAAGAAGAAAACAAATGTATCATGGTTCGGGAATTTCCAACATTGACCCGACCTCTTCAAGATCCATCTATTAGTATGAGAATTGAACTCACGATTTTAAATTACTTCATTTATAAATTTAAACTATGAGATGATGCGTTCAACACACGGGACTCAAAATTTCGTGCATGACATTGTATCAAATGGAGAGGAGAACAAATACTAACAAGCATTGTTCCTATTGTTGCAAAAAACAGAGTACCCCAACTTGAGAACTATAGTAGATTTGTAACTTTAATGTTAATTCTTTTTATTACAAATCAATGTCTTAGGGTCAATTTGCTCAACTTCTTAAAACCATAGAACACAAAATACATATGCTATATGTAAGGTGCATCGTGGTCCTTGCCATCTAGAATAACCCTATTTTGTAGCCAAACAAAGCCGTGCAAATGGAAGACTGAGTTAGACCGAAGTCACGTATCCCAACCAACTTTACACTAGAAGTAAACTTTCTTTACATGGAAGGGTCAAAAAATGTGGCATCATCTCCCAGTTCTCTATCACGTGTGTGAAAGGGGGGCTATGAGAGTTAAATTCAAGACCTTCGTGAGTTCTGATACCATGTTCAGACTTAAATTTTCATCTTAATTTAATGTTTTCCACATACTTCAGTTAATTTAAGAATTCTATCCTATCCTATCTTCCAGTTAGAGTTGATGATCATATTACTGTTGCATCCTATCAGGTCTAGACAAAAATAGTACTCCTAAATTATATTGTAGGGATGACTAGGTCCTCTATCTCCCACTCTTATGTTTACAGAAATTGCGTGAGAATGCCATAAGGAGCTGCCAGAAAAAAAAAAAAAGTAGTCCCCACAGGTCCTTGTCCATACAAGCACAGCCCCCGGCTCAATCTTGCCTACTTTATCCACATCATGAGAGAAAGATGGAGAGTTGGATGGGCTCCAGTCCGGTCAGGTCGGGTTGGGAGGGGGGCCGGGGTTGCAGGACGTTTAAAAAAATGAAATAAACATAACAAACCAGCAAGCATCATGGAATGATAATCATAATCAAGTAAAACGAATGAAAATAGAGAAATAATTATGATCATAATATGTTTTAGAAGACGGGCCTTTAGTCCACAAAACGAATCTGTACAAACGACACTCTCCATCTCTCGCCTACTGCACCTAGATGACAGCAAACACAGAGCTGCCAATGATTCAAGAATTTAGAACTGACTATCCCTTTTTCTCGATTACTAGACTATCATATATGAATATTTAAAGAAACAAATTTCGAAATTGTGAATAGCACCAGGCGGGGGAAGCAATTATTCACCCGAGGGATTAAGTCTGTTTGTCCTATCCGTGGTTTGGTTCAGATGTATGGCTCTCTGATTGTCCTACCCCGCTGCTTTCCTGATCAGCTGAAGAACCACGGCCCTCCTTTGTTGATTCGATTTCCATGCTAGTTGTTCTGCTTTTTCTCGTCCTCCGATCCTGCAGCAGGGAAAATTTTGAAGTTTGAGGCATTAATTATGTAGCCTGTTAATACCTCAAATTGTTCGATGAAGTCCAAAGTCACATTAGGAATTAGTAAGAAGGTTAAACAACCACGTAAAAGATGCATGAAATCAAATATATTGTAGTTACACAAGGTTAATTTTGATCTACATCTCCTCCTAGTACCTCCATGCGCCATTTTAAATTTGAAAATGATGCATTTTAATATTTGCCTAGACAAAAGGTAGTTGAAAGACCAGAAGCAGAAGCCTTGATCAGCAAGGTGCACATAGGTTTGAGAGATTGGTGGACCAAAGGAAAATCCTTTCATATGGATTGAAACAGATTATCATTCGTTTCAACTGCATATAGATAGGAACATTCATAAACAAATTTATTATATCCAAGGTGGTTCACAAGCTATGTTGCATCGACACGTTGACAGAGCTGACGTGTTGGTTTCCAACAATTTTCAGACACCGACACGCGCCGGACACTTCTAAGTAGGGGTGTCCAAAAGTCCCAAATCGAACCGGACCGAACCGAACCCGAACCGAGCGGTTCTTTATAAGTTAAATACCCGAACGAGTACTCGAATCGAGAACCGATGGATTTGGGTCAGGTCTCGGATCTAGACCAACAACCGAAGAACCGAAACTAAATAAATTTTTTAATTTGCTCATGACTACATGACTATATGTTTTTGAATTGGACTACGTTAATTTGTAAAAGTTTCGAATGAAATATCATTAGTTGTATTTATGTAGTGTTGTTGTAAATATTAAAAAATTTAATTATGGTACGGAACCAAATCGAACCGCACGGAACCCGAACGGTTCCATAATTATATTTGGACCCGACGGTTCCATTTATTAAATACTCGAAAGTTTTGGGCCGATTCGGTTCTCTTCAGAACCGAACCGACCCACGGACAGCACTACTTCTAAGAAATGCCACATTGTATTTGTCCCTTTTTAGTTTTTTTTTTTTTAGATCCCACAAGTTCATGGATATGAGAAACCACGAACAGTGCTCAAAAAAAATAGAAAAAAAAAATATGCTAGCGAGCGCAATGAAAAATGCCATTGTCGACGAGTGAAGTGGAAGAGGCGGCTATCACCTATGAGCGTAGTGGAAGAGGGAGATGGAGACACCCAAACTTTAAACATTATTTTCACATAGACAAAGACAATGCTTGAAAGTCGAACCCTAAGGAGAAATTTTATGTTTTTTAAAATAAAAAATGGGTCAATATTTTTTTCTTATTTTAAAAGTCGGTCAACCATGTATGAACTTTAATGTCAAGTGTGATTTATATTTGACTAGAGTTTTAAATCAATTGACAACTAGAGTTTTATTATTGGAAATAAACAATAGTATAGTATTAAAACTTTCAATACATGTAAAATTGTGTTCATACTTGAAGGTGTTGGACTGCTTGAGATTGTTAATCTATCGTTAGATGACCCAGAGTTGGAGTGTGTAAGTTTTAACAATGTTTTAAAAACCGACCCGACCATAGACCTGTAAAGTTAAAGAGTCAATGGTCGAAAGGTCGAATCATGGTCGAACTGCTAATAATAAATAAAATAATTAATATATGAATATATAACAAAATTTGACATAATAGGTTATTTTATTTATTTACTTGTTTATTTTAAATGACTTATATATAGATATAACAATCACTTAATAAACTTGATTGAAATTAATTTTTAATTTTTTATTAGGTCCCACTTCTAATATCACAAAATTATTAATAGTTGAGTCGATTAAATACTTTTATGGCATTTTAGTTTGTAATTATAATAAATAAACAAGAAACTAAGGAAAATTTGAATAAAAAAGTAATCAAATTCAAAAAAGAAAAAGCTAATTCCACCTTGTAACCAGTACTTTCCCCAATCCCACATTGATTGCGTTGAACTACCATACTAAAGAAATTGGATATAAAAAGAGTTGGCCACTATTAAGTTCGATATACCATTTGGGCCTAGAAAAGAAAATTTTCAAATTATTGATAGGAATACCACTTGGGCCTTGAAGCCTCTAATGAAGGAAGTTATCAAATTTTTGATAGCAAAAAACCAAGGTTAAAACCGTCAAAACCGGTTGCGGGTCAACTGGTTTTACGGTTACACAGTCTAGTTGGCCAGTTTTTATCTGATTTTTAAATACCCGATTTTTAGGCATCAACTAAACCGGACTAAGGGGTTCACGATTTTCCCAATCCGGTCTGGTTTTGAAATTTTTAATGATAATGAAGAAGATGGTGGTGATGTTGAAGCAAATAAAGTTTAGATATTTAAGAATTAAAATAAAATGTTTAAATATTTTATTTTATTTTATTTATTTTTATTTCAGGCTTCCATTTTAATATTTTTTTATAATAATAAATTATGCTAAATTTTATGATTACATATATAACATGCAAACACGCTTATCTTAATTTTTTTTTTAAAATTTGTATCTGATCCTTGCTTCTTAGCCCATGTTTGACAACCATACTTTTCGAAAAAAGAGTTTTGAATAGTGATTTTTGGGAGAATGTGTGGTTAAAAAGTAGGAAAAAGTTTTGGTTTTACGTGCAAAATATTTTATTATATAAATGTGTGGTTAAAACTGAGTTGTAGAAAAAGTTTGAAAAGTATTGTTGTCAAACAAGGGCTTAGTTCACTAACATCAAAATGAAGTGTGAAATTTTCCTTCATATTTACTTAAGTACCAAGATTATTGCGAAATCCTAAAAACAGCCATCAACAATTTATAGAGACAATTTCCTCTATGAT